TAGTTCATAAAAGATAGCTTGATCTCTGCGACAGCGTGATTTTTACTGACAGCTGTCGCTGAGATCAAGCTATCTTTTATGAACCATAGTATGTTTTGCTCAAGCCTTTTCATTTAATGTCCATATCATATGGATTACTATGGAATTTATACACCACAATTTTGTGACGTTCGGCATATTTGATTTAGAATTATTGAGTTTCGTTTATTAAGCTCTTTCATAGAAACTTATATCTCTATCACTATTGTGTAACGGTCGCCATATTGGATTAAAAATGGTGGCATTTAAGTAATCGTGCATTGTCTGAAGCATGAAGGTTAGAGAACAGGAGAACGATCACAACGTACTAAAGCATAGCCCGCCTGTCCTTGAAATTTGTAGAATGTATAGCGGCGCTGACGTCGGTGAGTAGTGACTGCGAAGTTAGCTGTTTATAATTACAATTAGATGAAGTTAGTTGAATAATGTACTCATTTTTAATGAGAAAAATTTCACGTTCCGTAATTTTGTAATTTTTGACAAAAAGAAACATTAACAAATGGAGAATATTTAATTGTGCGTGAATGTGCAAGTGGTTTAGCATCTGATCGGAAAAATAGACAGAAAATGACTTTTATTGACTGAACTTAGTGATCGCAACGCCTCACTTATGGTGTCCATATTTCTGGGACACTATTTTCTACGGCGATCGTTCTCCTTCTCTTTAACCTCCATGACCCTATTTTTTTCCAGACGGTAAAATGGTCATCCAGTATGTCATTATAATATTACATTGTCATTTATGACGTATTCAATTAAAAATAGCGGCATTTAAGTAATCATGCATTGTCTCGAGAACCAAACGTAGGCCAATAGGTTCGGTGGAAGTGGGTAAAATATTGGTTTTTAAATTCCAGGATATACATATAAGTGAAGTTAAATAAAAGCTTTTAACTTTTAATAATAAAGGCAAACTTTTGATCAATGCGCTACTGAGCCGTCTAATAAACTTGGCTTTGCCCATTGAAGTAATATGTACTTACGTACTAGAACAGCTATCTCAAACAAAAATTGTGCGCTACTCTGTGTTCGCGCGGTTGTTTTTTTATCATAGAATAAACATAGGTAGAATGACCCGTAGGTAATATTAGATTGTATTGTTAAATAGGTAAATTATATCGAGAACAATATTTAAATTTTATCATTTATTTTGTATATTATATTTGCTTTTTTATTATACTATTACATAATATTATATCACAATTACATTTTAATGATATTTTATCTGAATATTTTAAGTTATCTATGTCAAATTTAAAAAAAACATACTAAATGTATGTTTAACAAAACTTATTAACATAACATATAAATTACAAATGTGTTTATTTAAATTAGAATAAGAGTCGTTCATAAATGCTGGGCACACGAGAGTTAAAAATGGACGAATTTACCTATACCACTTTGACTTTGATGTGGAAACCTAAAAATAAAATAAAAGAATAATAAGCAGATTTAAACATGAAAAATTTTGCCTAATTATAATAATTTATATATGTTTCTACTAAAAAAGTTATATATTCATCCTATACTAAGTACCCACAGAAATGTCGCATCTGAACATATAATTTCATAATCTATATTCCATGACACGAGATGGCGTCTTAGGAATAATTTGTTTTATTATTAATCTATAATACTTTTTTATTGATTAAGTATCTTATTAACCGATGAAAAGTAATTCCTTGGTTTTTACTGGCATTTCTTGAATTATTTGTGCAATATCTAAGTACACACGACGGCATATTTTTATCAAGAGATTTTTTTTTAAATCAACACAACACGTGTCAACTCTACAAGCGCCTAGCCAGTGACTGATTAAAGTGCGGTGTATGCACCGCAGTTGAGTGGAACAGAGTAGCTGAATGCAGTGTTGCCTCTAGTACGTAGTACATAATAGCTCAATGGATTTTCCGTAAGTTTTTATTGCAAATGGCGACCTAGATTTTCATTTTATGTTGTTTTTTTATTTAAAGTAAAATAGTTACTATTTTACAATAAATCGAATCTATTAAATACATTTAATCAGTGCAATTGTAATAGCGAGAGATTAATTTTTATTTTATTGATTGCTAACGTGCATTATTCATTAAAAAACCTATAATTTTGCTCACAAGTTTTAAAACCGATGCCCTCTCTGCGGTGATGCCCTAAGACAGCCTAGTATAAAAGTTGTTTAAAGTCTAATTTCTGATAGGGTTTTAGAGTAAAGAAATGTCCGCCGCACTGCCTCAATGCTTGTTGGCGAACTTCACGTCTTAGATTTTTTTTTCTTATTTCTCAGCCATTCAGGTTTCCACATACTGTTTCTTCAAGGCCGAGTACGTGCTTACTATGCCTTATTATAAATACATTACTGTTTAATCGGATGAATACTTACTTCACGTTAGGTACTTAATGTTAATATCATTTACACGTGAGAGAGCCATGCTGCAGTTACATTAGTGGTATAGTTATAGCACGAATTGGTCGGCTCGACCGGGGAAGGATCACGCTCCCACAGAATACCAGCTTAAAATAGTAGCTTAATGCTGCTGTGTTTCGTATGGTAAGTGTAGAGAACTGGACTGAACTTACCATCAGGTGGACTGTGTGCTCGTTTGTCACCCTATCCTATAAAAAAATTCAGAGATGTTAATGTCATTAGAATCGCAGTTTTTTAAATTGTTATTAAGAAGACTCTGCTGTCCATCTACAGATTTATTTTTCTCTATCGTCTCTTATGACACCCACAGAATGATATAAGGTAGTGGATATTTTCATCATCATCATCATCATTACAGCCCTTCACAAGTCCACTGCTGAACACAGGCCTCCCCCAAGCAACGCCACAAAGCACTCTCCTGAGCCACCTGCATCCATCGACTTCCTGCATGTCTTACCAGGTCGTCACTCCATCTACATTCTAATTCTACAGATTCAGTAAAAAGTGGCGCAAGTATGAGTCTGAGAGATGACTCTATATTAGTGCAATTTCTTGTAATTTGTCGCTCCGCGGGGTCCACGTGCGGTGAAGTTCGTAAAGGAACTGTATCCACAACTTGTCCTTGCTGGTGACATGAGCACTAGTTCTTTTCTCGCTCAAGGGCTAAGTATAGACATTCAGCGAGGAAATGCAATCAGTTCTTGGCAATATACCGTGTGAAGTAGAACTGTATGATAATTTCAATTTTTAGTTTTAGTTTTTCGTACTATAAATAGATAATGTATTATAATAAATGTAATAAAAAACTACGGAAGAGATTTTAATGAAAATGTAATCAATCGTTCATTATGTACTCACGCACACAAACACGTACGCACACATTTACGGAAATCGATGGAATCAGACTAAATGGACTTCACGAGGTCTTCAAAAGACATGTTTAAAAAATTGAATAAAACTACTTTTACTCCCGTACACTCCCCCCCCCCCCTCCCCCCCCTCTAAGACCCATGACTACTGCAAGGCATTAAAAACGTCAGGAATTAAAAATAAGTAATAATAAACGCAATAAAATCGTTAAAAAAATAAGTTTTTAAGTTATTTGTTGAAAGTTAAAAAATAAGTTAATAATGAGATGTATCATTTTGCAGAAATAAAACTAAACATATATAAACATCATTTTATTTACAATAAAGTGAAAGCAAATATATTTTTTAGATTAAAAATGTTGCCAAAATGTTTCCGATTTTCACTAGACAGCGTCAATACCAACAAAAAATGAGTCCGCGTTATCTGGAAAAAATCAAAAATTGCTTTAAATTTCATCACGCTGCAGCTATATTAAAGTTGTAGCGCGAATGGGTCGGCTCGACCGGGGCAGGACCACGCTCTCACAGAATACCAGCGTAAAATAGCAGCTTAATGCTGCTGTGTTTTGTATGGTGAGTGTAAAGAATCGGAATTCCTTTTTACTGGTTACGAGGCATTCCATCTTAGTCCTCAGTGGTGACAACGCATTTGCATTTTGATTCATGATTGAAGTATGTTTATGGACCACAGCATACACTTACCATCAAGTGGACTGTGTGCTCGTTTGTCACCCAATGTAATAAAAAAGCCTTCTCCAATAATGCTACAAAGCACGGCTCTATGCTACCTGCATCTAATTAATTCCTGCATCTTTTACCAAGTCATTAGGCATGTGTCATTCAGTCTTTTCTACTGACCCGATCATTCAAGTATTGATTCGTCTTACGAACCGGCTCATTCGGGTCGATCATTCAAATAGATCATTTCGAGTTTCAGTACTCTTGTGAACTTTGAGACCCACTCGATAATGTCGGTCGTCGGTCATTACTATACTCTGGTTGTAGGTCTTGTCAATCGTTTCATCTAGAACATTCGAAAAATGTAATTGCATTCAGCAATACTTTGACGCGATCCATGTCAAATGAAGGAATTATTCACGATTGATACATACAAGTGATGACTTGTAAACATGTGTCACTCCCGTTGGAGAGGCTACAACTCGAGAACCTTTCTTCCTTATCAGCTGCCGGTTTCGTGCAATTCGGCCGGCCATTGCCACTTCTTTACTTTTTACTAAATTGTTTCTTTGCGATATGTCCATCGACTTCATGCATCTTTTAACCAACTCCTCTGTCCATCTCGTAGGGGGTAGTCTGATACTTGGCGACAGCCAGTACTGTCTAGTTCTACGAGCGTCAATCCACCTCACAAGCATGTCACAAAATAATAGGCATATATAGTATGGTAAATGTAGAGAACCGGAGACCCTTTTTACTGGAAACGAGGCACTCCATGTTAGTGCTTAGGAGTGACAATTCAACTGCATTTTGATTATTAATCGAGGGTAGATGTAGATGTTTACAGACCACAGCATCCACTTACCATGAAAAAAATTGTATATTCATAAAAGATATGTCCTTTGAGAAAAAATCATTTGATGAAGACGATGATGATGATGATGATGACGGTAATGATGATGATGACGATGATGGTGATCCATCTTACAATGCTAATGCTGCGCACAAACAACCCCTCGGCACTCGGCGCCATATTCCGCACAAGGACGATCCGAAGGTTTCAGTGCTTCACTCTTAGGGCAGAACTGGATCACTCTGTAAAAAAATTATGGGAATTGAGAGTTTTGCAGCAACTTAGTTTATATATCTCTTTATCAACTCTTACTAATCCACACTCTACTTGTGCCTGCCCTATAGGTACCACTACCATAACTGTATTTTACTGTACTGCCCGGTTTGCTGATCAGCCGGGTTCGGATCCCGAGTCGGGCCAAAAAAATCAATTATTGAGTTTTTCTGTCAAGAAATTCTCAGTAGCTGCCCGGAGTCAGGAAATTGGCGGTGTCTCACCCCCCGTGATTCGCAAAGCCGTTGTTCCTGCGCCTGATCTCTCTCCGGTCGTGTCGGTTTACCGTCCCGTCGGATTATGAGAGTGAGGGAATAGAGAGTGCACCTGTGCTTGCGCATACACTTGGGCACTATAATCCTGTCCTGTGCAGATGGCTAGTCTCCGTTGAGACTGGCCGGCGTGACCGAAGTTCGCTCTGGAGGACATTATTATTAATATTTTTTTTACTTACATTTATTTTACTGTACGTTTTTTAAAGTTGTAATTAGGATAAGATGGTCTTTGATGGTTCAGCAGAGGTTCACATTTGAGGTTTATCAAAGAGCAATGGAACGCAGTATTCTGAGTGTTAAGCTTTCAGATTGGATTAGAAATATCGAAACTCGTTCCAGATCGATAACTGCCAATGTCACACGAAAAGCTGCTACACTAATATGGGCTGGACACATCTGCCGAATGCCAAATGACCAATGGGCCAAAATGACAATCCAATGGGTCCCTATAAAAGGCAAACGTCAGCGAGGCAGACCAAGGCGGACATGGATAGATAAACTGAACTCCTTTATCCTCTCAACTGTCCCGGCCCAAATGGTCGCTTTGGCGCATACTGTCCAGCCCTAAACGAGTGATTTATTGCCTACGTGCGCGTGTCATTAAAATGGCAATATCTTAATAATTATTAATGGAAACTCTATAAAGTAATATGTTATTAAAATTATTGTTAAGTAAGCTAATAGAATATGTGTAAATGTGTACATTCACCTTTTTTGTATGTTCTAAATTCCATGGTAAAAATGCTAAAAGCGATTTTTTTCTAGTTTGGTGAATAAAAAATTGTAAAAAAAACAATTACTTCAATAAATATTTATTTTATTTACAATAATACAACAATAAATTAAAAAAAAAACACAACTCTACGTACTTTTTTTTACACCACAAGCTCGACAATAATGTGGGCCACTTAAGATGACCCGAAACAGGTACAAAAAATGGGCACATTATGTACTTCAATAGCGACAATTCCATACCGAGATAAGTAGTTTAATGATATTAAAACAATGTTGTACGAGTTAGAGGGAGATACAGATACATTTACTACGGCTGTTTCGTGTTTGAAGTTTATAAGTAAATTGCAACCTTCTAAAGGTTGCGTACATTTTTAATAGCGACCTTTAGAAGGTTTAGGATAGCCAAGAGGTTATGAAGGACTGGTCTATGGTGGCTCTGGAGAGAGAGTAGAGATTCCTTTGTCTTGCAGTGGCACATTTCAAACTAATTATAATAATTATGATAACGCTGCTGCCTATCTCCTGATCTGTTTCCATCTGTCTACTCTTACGACACACACGCGATGATATATAGTAGTGGATACTCTTAAGCAATTATGTTAAAGAACTATTATTTTGGTCACGTATTTTATCAAACAGGGGAAGACCTTTTTAGATAAGAAACTCCTACTTAATATGGTATCATCCACACTCATTTTATACGTGGTAGAGTCGTGCTGCAGTTATATGTGTACGCTCTCATAGAATACCATCGTAAAGTAGTACCTTAAGGTGATACCTCGATAATTTGGTAGTTTTTCTATATCCCATATTTTTTTAAGTTTTATAGATTACAAAGCAAAATTTCGTTATATGATTTTTAACTATATGATCTTAGATTAAATAAAAGGAAAACACGATATCACGCAATTTCCTCGATAGAAAAAAAATTGCAATGTAGGCTCTAAATTAGTTACATTTCTTTATGACACCGCAATATTTTTACGAATAAGTTCATGGAATTATTTTTAAGCATAGTAAATAATCATATCTAAGTTCTCATAAACAATTTTTTTAATCCATAACGAAGTTTTGTTAAAATAAATAAAAATGTTGTTTGGCGCTTACTTAGTTTTTTTTTCCGAGCGCTTGCTCGGTATGGCTATCTCATAATTTGCGTACTATGAAGTCATTGCATCACTTTCATTTTGACACTCCCTCAGTCGTTCGTTAGCTTCACCGACAAAGGAATAAGCCACGCCCCCAAAACTACGATTCCTATTCAAGGTATCCTCTTAATGCTGCTATGTTTCTTATGATGAGTGTAGAGAACCGGAGACCTTTTTTATCGGAAACGATGCATCCCATCTTAGTCCTCATTGTTAATTAACAATGATTTATATAATATTGTATTTTAATGGCAACACTGCGTCGGTTGTCAACACTGTGTCTGTGGTTATGAAGGAAGATTCAATATGACGTTATAGGCTCTTCATGTTGTTGTTTTGAGATTAATAAAAAGCACGTTTTATGTTCAAAGTATTATATCTTTAATTATCCCCATAATCCTTAACAGGGTTATGGGCCCAGTACGGCCATCAGTTTTATAGTGGATTAATAAGTGTTAAAGGACAGAAAATGTCAAAAGAAAAATATCAAATTGTCCCTTTCGCGGGGGGACAATTACAACGCGTGGGAGTTTCGATTAAAAAGTATCCTGCGGGATAATGGAGCAATAGAGGCGATCGAAAAGGAGGATTTCAGTAAATCTACGGATAACAAGCAATTGCAATTGGAAGCTAAGGCCCAGGCTATTATAATAGCGGCAACCGCCGACAGTCACCTCGAATACTTAAAGGACAGATCTGCTTATCAAATGATTAAAAGCATGGAAGACAGCTTTAAGAAGAAAGGTACACGATCTAAATTATTTATAAGAAGAGAGTTGTCCGATATGAAATTCGACGAACGGAAACGTTTAATGGAACATTTTATTGACATGGAAAAGCTATTTGCACAACTTAGGGATGCTGGCAGTGAGCTCTCGGAGGAAGAAAAGGTTAACTATTTACTCCTATCCATGCCGAAATCTTATGAACTGTGGAGGAATTGAAAATGGACTTCGTGAAAAACAGACTGCTTGGGGAAGAGGAAAAACGGAACAGAGGAGCGACCAAATCCCTTGACTCTTCAATCTTCTTGTGTTATGGATGTGGACGCCCCGGACACAAAAAATCCCAGTGTAGGAGCACTCAGCAGGCACGACACAGGACTGGTGACTGGAGACTTCACGGCCGTGGACGTAGCGACTGGAAGTACAACGGAGGCCGAGACGACAGTGAGGCAACTCGTCATCAGACCCAGGGGAGAGGTAGAGGAAAGTCATTTCTTACAGGCACTGAAAATACTGAAGGTAACAAATTTGTAAGTTTTATGTCATTTAGCCCTGACACCGAACAGAAGAATAAAAATAGTTTTAATGGGTTGTTGACTCAGGTAGTTCATTTCATCTTGTAAATGACATTAGTTTATTCTTTAATTATTGTAAACTGGATAAGCCAATTAAAATTTCAGCTGCCAAAAATGGCGTTGATTTAGAGGCTGTTGGTGTAGGAACAATAAAATGTTATTTAAGTGATTTTAAAGTTGATATTATATTAAAAGATGTGTATTATGTACCACAATTAAGAAAAAATTTATTATCTGTTTCCAAAATGGAAAAGCATGGTTTAAAGATCATCTTCAATAAAGGGGAAGTTAAAGTTTTCTCACAAACCAATGAATTGCTTATGGTTGGGCATAGACTAGGATCCCTTTATTTTGTAGAATTTAAAGTAATATTTAATGATTGTTATTATGGTGCAAAATCAGACAACAATGATAATTCAGTAGAAATTTGGCCCAAACGATTTTCTCACTTAAGCTATAGTAGTTTGAAAACTTTAGTAAATAAAAATATGGTCGATGGTTTAACTGATTTAAAAGAAAAAAATTAGAAAATAGGCATTGTGAACCATGCATACTTGCTAAGATTACACGCCTTCCTTTTAATGGGAAAATGTATAAGGCTTGGAAACCCTTAGAACTAGTACATACAGATGTTTGTTCTGTTAGCCCTTCTACGTGGGACAGGTATAAACACTTTGTTACTTTCATAGACGATTTTACCCACTTCACCGCAGTTTACTTATTAAGAGACAAGTCTGAGGTTTTTGAATATTTTAAGACTTATTATAATTATGCTAGTAATCATTTTGGTCATGGTATATTGAAGTTAAAATCAGATAATGGTGGTGAGTATATTTCTAGAAATTTTAAATCCTTTTGTGATGAAAAAGGCATAGTATTGCAGTATACTGCTGCATATAATCCCGAAATGAACGGAGTAGCTGAAAGAATGAATCGTACTCTGACTGAAAAGGCGCGTGCATTATTGTTAGATTCACAGCTTCCTAAAGAGCTTTGGGGCGAGGCCCAGCGATATGCGGTATATGTCACTAATCGTAGTCCCACTGCTTCCCTTAATGTTACACCATTTGAAATGTGGGAGGGAAGACGTCCTAATGTGTCTAATTTTAGAATATTTGGGTCATCTGCATATGCCCATATTCTCCAAAAACTCCGAATGAAGTTGGACCCTCGTGGTGTGAAATTGAAAATGGTTGGGTATGCTCCGGGGGGATACAGATTATGGGATGCTAATGAAAGGAGGATACGCATAGAGCGAAACGTATTGTTTAGGGAAGACACATGTTCAGAGTCCCCTGAAACGATTAGTATTGACGTGGAGTCTATCTCGGATGGGAAGGAGAAGGATGGTGGTAGTATTCCTGAGAAAACCAAAACCCCTTTAATTTCTGATAAAACCCAAACCCATGGTACTGTGAAAATTTTAACTTCTGATAATAATTTAGAGTCATTACAACCTGAGGGAAGGGATACAGATAATGTTAATTCTAGGGAGAAAAGAAAGAAAACTA